TATCATTATTATTTAATTTTACCTCAATATTTAAATGACATCATTAGTTTAACGTTAACTAAACATTACCTCAATGTGAACTCAACATTAACTTAACATCCACTCAACATCAACTAACAGTTTCTTAACATTAACTTGAAATTAACTTAACATTAACTCCAACTCAAAAATATCAACTTAAAATTAACCTCTTAACATTGACTTAACATCAACTTAACATTAACTCAATAATAATATTATTCAACATTAACTCAAAATTAACTTGACATTACCTTAAAATCAAATTAACATCAACTCAATATCAAAAAGACATTAACTTCACATTAATCACTAAATTACCAATACATTGACATTAATTCAACTTTCAATCGAAATCAACTTGATTTCAACTTTTCATCAACTTAACATTACGTCAACATTAAAGAAATTACTCATGTTAAATCGACACTAACTTTCGAACTTTCTAACTGTTATATGTTGTCATAGTGAAACGAGTCACTTTCTCAATAACAAATCAATGTGTTTTATGCTGTTTTCATAGGTGGTCGTAGGAAAATCTCATTTACGTTTTAGCTGTACGGCGCGCCAAAATTAATTTTTCAAAGTGCGCTCCTACATTACTTCTTTTAAAGGCTTCATTCAAATAGTTGGATATTTGATCTTGATTATTGTTAATATAGTATATAGGTATACATAACTGTTGTCATTCAACTTTTGGAAGCATCCATCAGTATATGCGAATTTTTATGAATAAACACACGGATATAAAGTGCCCTCCAGGAACATATCTAATCGAAGCCCAGACAGCACTGGATATTCCTAGAATATTCTCTGAATATGCTAAAAAGGAGGAGTATATTCCGAATATTCATCGATTATTCCTAGAATATATACATGCCTCTGGAACATCTAGAAGGAATATTCCAAAGTGATGTTCAGGGAATAATATTCAGGTATGAATTTTCCAGGAATATTCCCAAATGAATATTCTCTCTTGTTTATTCATGAAATATTCCCAACTGAATGTTCTGTGGGGTATATTCATGAAATATTCTCAACTGAATATTCTGTGCGGTATATTCATGAAATATTCTCAACTGAATATTCTGTGGTGTATATTCATGAAATATTCCATGAATATTCCTATGTTTCTCAACACATAAATATCCATCATTATTTCAGAGTTGTGAGTATCGAACATCAAAATTAGATGTAAGGGGATTTTGAAACAAAAAGTGTTTATGATCCGATTTCGAACAACGCTCTCACAAGAAATTGATATTTACAACATATTATTCAATTCGATTACTGGCCTAGTGGTCAAGGCGTTGGTCTGATAGTCTTGAGGTCACGAGTTCGATCCCTACTAGGGCCACTTTTTTTTTGTTTTAGAATATGTTCATTGGAATATTCCAGGAATATTCAACATGGAATATTCTTTTGGATATTCTATGAATATCTGAGGAATTCCCATTCGCATATTTAGAGAATATTCCACAGATAAATATGGACTATGATAGGGAGATTCATGGAATATCTGGTGCTGTCTGGGAGTAGTATAGATAATAAGTGCTGATTTGGAACTATGGGGTTCAGCACCAAAACATATACGCTGATGCTCTTAGATTCCATCCAGGGAAGAGCTATTCGCATGGCGTGGGTGACGCCACACTCACACTCACTCTTTGACATCATTGGAACACCGTAGAAAGGTCGGCGACCTTTCACTTTTCTATCGATACTTCCACGGGAAATGTTATTCGGAAATCTCTGCTATATCATCCCAGCAATACCAGTCAGACGAACTAGACAAGCCCAGTCAGCACATCCTTTCGTTGTCAACCTCGAAAGGTGTCGAATAACACTTTATCAAAACTCCTTCATCCATAGAACGGCTAGGCTCTGGAATTCATTGCCTGTGGAAGTATTCCCAACAACATATAATCTCCAGAAGTTCAAAAAAAAATTCCAATACCTACCTCCTTTCCCTACCCTCCCTAGGAACGCATTATGTTCTTTGAACATTATAGGGATTTCCTTTCGTGCGGTCCAAGCGATAAAAAAATTATTAATTTTGAGGATTGTGCAAAGATTGCATTTATAAAATAATGTTTCATAACGAAAAATGGATATGGTGGGAAAAAATTACTAACTCATCGCATGGATTAGATTGATAGTTAGCCATGAGTTAGACATGTTTTTATATGTCATCACAGCGTCAGATGATAACCTTGGCTACCGCGAATTCTCGATCAAGCGCCGCGTGTCAGACTTTTTTATGACTGACGATGCTTGGTATTACTATCAGCAATAACCTTTCTTGGAAAATCACGTGAGATCAATTGCTAAAAGTGCATCTCAAAAACTTGGTTTTCTGTTTCGGGCCAGGAGCTATTTCACTTCCAGTCAGCTGCTAATGATCAATAAGGCATAGATCCGACCTGTCCTGGAATACTGTTCCCATATTTGGAGTGCAGCACCCAAACATACCCTAAAACTGTTGGATCTGTCCAAAAAAGGTCAATTCGTCTCGTGGGTGATGCCTCGCTCACAAACTCACTCACTTCTCTGGAACAGCGTAGAAAAGTTGGCGATCTGGCTCTATTTTATAGATTTTTTCATGAACGATGCTCTTCTGAAATATCAACAAATGTTCCTCCCTTGGCAGTCCCCGCGAGATCAACCCGTCGAGTTGAGGCTTCGCACCACTTCGTGGTCACTTTGGAGACCTGCAGAATAACATCTCTTTCCAAAGACTCGTTCATCCAACGAACAGCGAGGCTCTGGAATACATTGCCAAGGGAGGTGTTCCCCGAGGCATATGACCTCCAGAAATTCAAGAAGAACACCAATTCCTACCTTATTTTCCTTGGTTCTCACGAAGTTCTCGGGACATTACAGGAAATCCCTTTTCGTGGGAACCAGAACATGAAAAAGCGGTTTTTTTCAAATTCCGTATAGCATTTTCACCCAGAATGTTAGTGTAACAACCACGCATCACAGCATACGCTTTTGTTGCTTTATATAATTTTTGAATTGATGAGAGCAACAATAACGTATCATGAGATAGGTTTTTATCGTTTTAATGAATTGAATTCAAGTATTTCAGTGTTTTATGTTTTTGTCGAATACTATTTATTTCGTGAGCTGACCAAAAAGAAATGAAAAATCAGGTAAGAGGTAAGTATAGTTATTATTTGTTTATTGGAATTATTTGAAATGAGGTGTCGCACTATATCTTGTTGAAAATAATTATTATTTGCCAATAGATTTGGATTACCATCATCATCGAGGACCATATGTGAGAATGGCTGAGGACCATATGTGAGAATTTCGCAAACAAATGGATAGGACGTAGAGGACCAATAGAATGACCAGCACTTGGCACCCAACGATTTTTTTCGGGGTAATTTTAAATCCGTTATTAACAGAACCTATACTAATCTGGACGGTTTGGAAAGAAAATTATAAGGACTGAATGGCAGGCAATAACAAGAGAAACATAGAGGTTTCTTTTAATTGACTCAAAGAAATCCATAGCAAATGTAAAAACTTCACAAACGATAATAGATTTCCACAAGATTCTTAATCCACGACATGTTTCGCTATAAACAGTAGCTTCATCAGGTGAAATTCTGGTACAATGAACTAAACTAACGTTGGCTTGCTTGGATCCTATACTTTCTCAACCTGTGGCCGCAGGTTCGATAAAACTTCATTTTCGGAAAATAGGCACAATAATTATCTACATTGAAACGGTGTACCGAATTAATTTGATAGGGTTGATAGCAAATACACATTATTACCTACTAAGAAAACAAATTCAACAGTGGTAAACTATTGAGGTCTAGTTGATTTAAGTAAAACTTTCCAAGTCTATTGATTTCTAATGATTCCAAATGATTGGGTTTTAGGTATTCCTCTTTTTTCTACGAGTAGAATTTCGAAATTATCATCAGAACTATGGATTTCTTCTAATAAATGGTTGGCGTATATAGAATTTGTTTTCTTTTTCAAAAAATTCACCTTATTATGTTCGTGAATGCGTTGTTTAAATGTTCGACCTGTCTGACCGATATATACCTTAGGACAAGATCCACAGTTGAGTTTGTATACCCCCGATTTTTCGAATTCAAAAGTGTTGTATTTATTATTTTTAATTAACCTTCCCATGTTATTTGTTCTATATATGCTACTTTTAAGTCCTGAATGTAGAACGGCTAGGCTCTGGAATTCATTGCCTGTGGAAGTATTCCCAACAACATATAATCTCCAGAAGTTCAAAAAAAACTCCAATACCTACCTCCTGTCCCTATCCTCCCTAGGAACGCACGATGTTCTTTGAACATTATAGGGATTCCCTTTCGTGCGCTCCAAGCGATAAAAAAAATAAAGCTAATTTTTCAGTTGATGATCCGAAATAGGTTAAAGTTCTATAATTTTGATTATTATTTTTGATGGTAGGTTGGTTTCTTTTTTTGCGAGATTTGTTTTTTTGGGAGTTATCCATCAGGGTGGACCACCCGATATACACCTATACCTTTGGTTTTGTGTAAAATTGTAGTCAGTTGAATGTTATAGAACGCCAAATATTTCAGCTAGCATTAGTTGTTTTTAATGAAATTTGATTTTGCCATATTCTGAATTTTTTAGGTTTAGAAATCTAGATTTCTTTTAGAGAATCTGATTGAATACGTTTCCATGATCTTGACAAAAATCAATATTTGAGTTGAATTTCGGATAGCATTTCTATAGAAACCAATTTTATAATTGCCACAATGCGCCAAAATTGACAAATTGAAACATCATCAGATAAAAATAGACCAAAGTCAAAATTTGAAATTTGCAACTTAAAAATAGATTAACTGAACTAGCAAAGTATAATTAGAAAAATTTTGTGTGAACCTATATACCTACCTATAATAAGTACCTAGCAAATTATCGTTTAATCACTGCATGACTTTATTATAAATTGTGAAACGATACCAGTTTTGATTAAAATGAATTGTTTGAAATTGATAAACGGATGTGAAATGCCTATGGTTGGTCTGGGTACTTGGAGAGCTCAGCCACAAGAAATAGAAATTGCAGTTGAATCTGCATTAGAAAATGGATATAGACATATAGGTAATAATCGTAAATATATAGTTTTTATACAGGGTGAGTCAAGGGGAACTGTACATACTCTTATCACGAATAGAGTTCCTCATGACACACCCTGTATTGTGTTGGAATAAATTCGCTAACGGGAAGAAATAATTTCCGACACTCGTCAACGTTTCAACGTATCCTACATTTTGCAAGCAATAGGAAAAATATATGTTTATATATAATATAGGTTGCATAAAATAGAGTACCCCGAAAAGATACCGACAAACTTTAAAGGGTCATAGAAGGTATATCAAAATAAGCATTATTGTTTATATAAACATGTCCGCAAATGAGAGCCGTTTGGGCTGGAGAGCAGACAAGCTAGCTCTGTAGAACAAAAAAAATCAAATGATTGGAGAAGTTTTTTACTCGGTTTTTTATTCGGTTTGCCACTAGCTGCAAAAACATTTGTTAATCATAAACATTTCGAGAATACCTACCATAGACCCCGGTAGAACATCATATTGGCTAGAACTTGGTCTCACATTATCCCAATAATCAATCCAGTGCCAATGTTGTGGTAATCGAAAATCGAATCAATCTCGGGAAAAAATATTGCATCAACATCCGATTTATGATGATTAGTAAATATTGCATTTCATTGTCCAGCAATATCTCACTGATATTGGCTCTTTGATATCTATAATAGTCAATCCAGTGCCAATGTTGTGATAACATTAAAATTTTGTGACCAGCCGATATTTATTCGCCAATATTTATTCGATATTTGCGAAATATCAACTATAACTTTCCATCAATATCAGATTTATGATGGTTAGTGAATATTGCATTTTATTGTAGAGCAATATTGCACTGATATTGGCGTTTTAATATCAATTCGATATAATGAATATGATATCACATCTATACCATTTTTGGATTGATTTCAATATTAAATCAATATAATTGAAATAATATTTCTCCGATATTATGTTCGAGATGATTATTGAATATTGCATTATATTTGCTACGAATATTATTTTCATATATGTATTTTTTATCGAGCCAATATTAGTTCATCAATATAAGACCCATTTCAGATAAATATAACTAATGAAATATGTCAGAACCAATATTGCACTGATATCGGTTTTTTAATAAAAAATCGGTATTAGTGATATTTATTTCGTTATTTGAGCGACGTTATAACAGCTGGTGCCATACAAGTCTCCAACAATAAACGACTGCCCCAGAGGGAACAAATCAGAGGGCCTGATCAAATACTGCAGCATTCGTTTTACATGGTATTCTGGGATACAGAGAATGAGCATTGATTTGATACATTATATCCTAATGTATTATTGTACCAATATCACAATTTTTTTTATGAGGTTATATGTCTTCGAATTTCGGATTCGAATATTGTAACGAAAACGAAATACAATATTAATAGAATATTACAATTCAACATAAAGATAATATTGCAAAATGATCACATCCCAATGTTGGACAATATAGTGGGCTAATATAAATTCAATATCGAATTTACATATGAGAATTAGAAGAAACCGATTTCTATAAGTTGACATAATATCATTCTCCAATCTTGTATACGAATATAAACTCGATATTGAATAGAGCATATCGGAACAAGATTTGAATTTAACATAGCACCAAAATTCCAGAATGTTCTCATTGATTTATTGGTCTAATATTTTAAATCAATATTTTAACAACATTCACTCTTTATTGGTTCAATATTCAACCAATATTAATGTTCTACCTGGGGAAACGTCGTGGAATTTATTATTTGTGATTATTTACCGTTATAATATTAACTCAGTTGTCTATCAATTAAAAATTTGCATTTGAAATGGCAAATAATTTTTCATTTGAAGAACTTGCCAATATGTAGTAGTTTATTTATCATTTTGACATTTTACATGTATAGGAAATAGTCAATTTATGTTAGTATGAATACAAGAAATTGTAAATGATACGTAGTACTAGATGAAAAGATAAAAATGAAACATACAATGAAAATAAGAGATACAATAAAATGTTATTAAAAAATACAAAACGACTTATCTGCTAGAAATAGTTCGAAAATGTGAATTAGGAGAAGGAGTAGAAATTATGTGCACATGGCGTGTGCAGCAAGGGTTGGCAAAAATGGCTCATTGGGGCCTATACTTGCTATATAAGCGACCGCCTCCCCTTCCTCTACTACTACTAGTATGTACCTATACCTATGGAAAATTAATTGACATTATAATTTCTTATCACTTGTAGTATCCCGAAGTTAATATAAAATGGAAGAATATAATATGTTACATTTTAAACTAGTATTTTTATGCGAATATAATAAGTAGAAATCAGGAATCTATTATTGGTGCCGAATCTGCGACCCCAAACTAAATTTATTCATCAACCTGTAAGCAAATCAAATGAAAAAATAAATTCTGAAACTATTTAATTTCCAAACAAAATCTGGTGTGAAATTTTCTTACCGAATACCACACGAGGTCAGATTATTTCCGGAAATTGATCAAGCTCATGGATATTTCGATAATTTTCGAAATAGGTATTCATGAGCGAGTAAAAATTTCCGGAAATAATTTGACCTCTAGTGGTATTACAAGTGAAAAGATATTTAACTTTAAAACTATGCTCTAATTCTTTGCATTGTCCTGGTTTCCTCTCTTTCAACAATAAGTTCAAGTTACAATAAGCCATATGGTTGCATTAAAAAAAAAACATGTTGGGACTGATTTCAGCAACCCCACAAACGTTGACGTGGTTCGCGAGCGAATTTATTCCAGTTGAAGTTACCACCCCGTACAGTTAGGTAGGTACATATTGATTCATTTGATTCTCAGACACCGCATTCAATTATAATACAGAAGAATCAATAGGCAAAATTATAGAAAAATGGATTGCATCGGGAAAAGGAAAGAGAGAGGATCTGTTCATTACAACCAAAGTAAGTTCTGTGTTCCTATACATACCCATTCATTCAATCAACAGAATCAATCAATCCCTTTTTTTGTGATCAAAAGCAAGCTGCTCACATATTTTTCTAATGAGCCATCCCACAACAACATAGTATAATTTCAGCCAATTCGACCGAGAGCCAATTTCCCGTGTTTTCGTGCGGGGTCCTTTATTCCTCCAACACCTCTAACGAATTGTTTTTTTTTTTTTTTTTTTCAGTTACCAAACTTTGGAAACAGACCCACAGATGTGAAAAGATTTCTGGAGCTATCTCTCGGTAAACTGAACCTCAGCTTCGTGGATCTATATTTAATACACATGCCTTTCAGTTTTCAATGCAATGAAACTACTTTGACGCCATTAGTCAATGAAGATGGAACATTCGCTCTAGACATAAATAATGATATCATTGGAACTTGGAAAGTCAGTAAACATAATTATTAAAAAACAAATAGAAACGTTGTGTGTTGTTTTCCACAATTCTCTTTTCCTCAGGAGATGGAAAAACAAGTTGAGAATGGACTTACTAAAACGATCGGGTTGTCAAACTTTAATGCTGAACAGGTGCAAAGAATTTATGAAGCTGCAGAAATCAAACCAGCTGTTTTACAAGTTGAGTTGCATGCTTACTTGCAACAAAAAGACCTCAGAAGAATTTGTGAAAATCTCAATATAGCTGTAACAGCTTACTCACCACTTGGTAGTCCTGGAGCAAATACACACTTTTCTATGAAATACAATTACAAGTAAGTTTCACAATATAATAAGAAAGGTATTGCTTATTGATTTTTCATTCAAATTACTAGAAAGTAGAAGTATCAACATTTTTGGAAAAAACTACCCATAAAATTGTTAAATTCCTTTGACACGATAATAACATTACATTCATCATACAGGACGTGGAAAGAAATTCTGAATTGAGAAAAACCTAATCACGAATCTGCGATTGAGGTCTATAAAAATAACAATAAGTTTCCATCGTTCAAGTTTGAACCCCTTGATTGGGTGAAAGTATTGAAAAGGAACATTCTCAGATATATTTATGAACACAAAAAATGGATATACAGGGTGTTTCATAATTGAATGCTGATCCTAAAGGGCGATGATCCTTGGATGATTTTAAGGAGAGAAGTTCATATCAACATAATGTCCTGAACCTCTTAGTTTTTGAGCTACAGGGTGTTGAAATCAGAAGCGTACAGCGTTTTTTTAAACTAAACATTCAATATCAGGTCTACGAGGTAAAAGTAAAAGTTTGATTTTCGTCCCAAAACAAAATGTGTTTCCACTCATAGTGGGTGTCTACTGAATTACCAAAAACAATATCCAAGAACTGAAGGAACAAAATTCTTTGGTTTTTATTTTTTACGCGAAAACGGTACGTTGTATGAAAGTAAGTCTTGGAACCAAATTTGCTCCAAAATGAATAAGAATTGAAAAAAAAATCTGGTTCTCAGAAAAATTAGTGGCGTACTATTTTTTTCTTCAAAAATTGTCAGTTCAAACCCCGTACGGACGCCACTGGTGAGAATTTTTGAATATCTTCTACGTAAAAAAATGCTCCTCAATAATGAAAAGGTGTATACAAAACATCAACAATATCTAAGAGTGAGAAAAACTCATTTTTTTCTTGAAATTTCATCACCCTGTAGCTCAATAACTAAGAGGTTTAGGACATATGTTGATATGAACTTTTCTCTTTGAAATCATCCAAGGATTATCGCCCTTAAGGATCAGCATTCGATTATGAAACACCCTGTATATATAAAGAAATACATTGAGAATTCGCATTCTCCATGTGATGAAAATATTAATTCTTTCTCGGTTTATTCAACAGAAAACAACTACTTTCCTGGCTATATATGACACGGCGAATATGGAATTACATCTATTGAACACACACGATAAGAATTTGAGAACAAAATCTTCTGAAGTAGAGAATTTGCATTCTCCTTCATGTAAAGATATGCATATAATATAATTCTGAATATTCAACAGAAAACAACTACTTTAAGATTAAAACAGTTTTAATATTCTCCTGAAGATGCTAACATAGATAGCGAAACACGTGTCGAGGCGTTTAAAAAATCGGTTTGGTTAGTGGTAAAACAGTGTAGTATACCGGGTGTCCCAGTATACCTGTTCCAATGGAGTATCCCAGTCATTTCGAAATTAACAAATTTTAAAATTTCATGATCTCCAATTCGTTCAAGGAACCTTCAACTGAGAAAAACGAAAATTGAAAGTCACTTCCGGTTTGACCGGAAGTGACTCTAACTTCTTTATTTCAAATAGCACCCTGTATATTTTTTGCAATTTTTGCTTCCTACTCAAAATTGCCTTTCCAACAATGTATCACACTTTGTATTTTACATTTGATATGATGAAGAAAACGACAAATTGAAATTTGGAATTAAAATCAGTATCATATCCAATTTCTCTTGAATTGTGAAGTTATCATATCATTTTCACGGTTATTCATTCCATGGCACACTAAGGTTTTCATTTAAGAATTATTAATTCTTCCAGTTCTACTACATATTTCTATAATAATTTGAAATTTGACGTTCTCTTCATCATCTCGAATGCAGAATTGTTCATGAATCATCAATTATTGAGGAACAAATCATTATGTACACAAAATATCGTCTACTGCAATTCTTTCCATTTCAAATTTCAATTTTCGTTTTCTCTATCAAATCAATTGTAAAATGTAAAGTGTGACAGATCGTTGGAAAGGAAATTTTGAGTAAAAAGCAAAAATTGCAAAAAATATACAGGGTGCTATTTGAAATAAAGAAGTTAGAGTCACTTCCGGTCAAACCGGAAGTGACTTTCAATTTTCGTTTTTCTCAGTTGAAGGTTCCTTGAACGAATTGGAGATCATGAGATTTTCAAATTTGTTACTTTCGAAATGACTGAGATAATCCGTTGGAACAGGTATACTGGGACACCCGGTATATTATCGTGCCAAAGGTTCCAGTCTTCGATATATAGTAATAAAAAGTTCATAATGTAGAATAAGCACCTGATTGAATATTTACTAAATCAATTGAATTTCGAAGTGATTCATTGAATTGTTCAGATTGATGTCAATCTTTTGTGATTCATTTTTGGAAATATGTTCATAGAAAATTGTAGGTAGGTATTTTGGATGTACAGTATAATAATTTTGGACCACCAAATAACATGGTCAATCGAAGTCATCATGGAAATATTTTTGTTACGTCAGTGATTTTTTCAGGATAGATGACTTCCCAAATATTTTGGAGAACCCTGTAGTGCAAAGTCTAGCTGAAAAATATGAAAAAACTCCTGGCCAGATTTTGTTGAAACACTTGGTTCAAGAAAACATTTCAGTCATCCCAAAAAGTGGAAACCCGGAAAGGATCAAAGCAAATATCAATTTGTATGACTTTGAACTCTCCGAGGAGGATCTGACCAAGCTGGACGACCTTGATAAAAAGGAGGCTGGGAGAATATTCAACTTCTTGTTCTTCAAAGGGGTGGAGAAACATCCGGAGTATCCATTCGAGATCCAAAAAGGCAAATAATTGGAAGATGAAACTCGATTACGACCAAAGAAACACCCAATTTGCAATTTTTGAATACGTAGGTACAACAAAATTTTCTCAAGAAAGTTTCACATGAATAAAGTTTAATTTGGAATGAAAAGAATCAAACATCTAACAATTCCAGCCCAAGAACTCTGTATATTCGAATGATGGTTATTCATACACCAAGGAATTCAAGAAAATCATTATTACCCAGCGACCAAGGTTATAATAACCCGTGATACCTAATAATATTCTTTACTACCAAGGTGTATATTACATTTTTTCCACACTAGCAATATATTTCAATCATTATAGTTCTGTGAAACTGAAATGTGGACCTATGTCACCATGAAAGCACTTCTTTTCGATTCTAATTAAAATCTTGTCATCATGACAGCATATGACGTTATTGATAAATACCTACTAGATTCGAGTGCCAGTCCTGCGAATATCGCATCAGAACAGTGGTTCATAAAATGAAGAATACTACCTTGGTAGTGAAAACAAACTTCACGCCTTCAAAAGGTAATGGTAGGTTCTATAGCTAGTGGTGAAAAAAATAATCTATTCACTGTAATGTTTAATTTGGAAAATATTGAGTATACAGGGTGTTATTCAAGTACGTGGCCAAACTTGAAGGGGTGATTCTTTGAGTGATTCTAAGACGAAAAGTTCATAGAAACATAGGTCCGGTAATGCTTTGTTTTCAAGATACAGGGTGTCAAAATTTTCAAAAGAAATCGTTTTTTTCGTAAATATCTTAATAACCCTTCAACCGATTTTATTGAAATTTGGCAATGTTATTCAAGGTCGTAAAGGGCTAATTTAACCCTAACTATATCAAAATTATCATGTCCAGTGGCGTCCGGAAGGCACTGTAACCAATATTGTTGACAGAAAAAATGTGCGCCACTGATTTTTTTTGCAATTTTTGTATTTGTTTCACATTAAGCAACTGAAATTACAACTTTTTTATATCTAGAATTTTTTTCGTATTTTCCTTTTTTTTGAGAAAAAACATAAAAATCACTTTATTGCACATCCCTGTTACAACAAAATAAAACATTTCAACTACTAAACCATCAAAAACTGGGGTCTTACTAATATTTTTTCATATTAATACTCTATTCTAGTCTTGGAATTTTCTATTAAAATTAATGCAATGAAAAAACAAAAAATATGTATGTATGAATTGCAGCACTTGCCTTCGGCTCGTCACAGGGATGTGCACCGAGTATACATTTGAAACAATTATAGTTAAAAGTAGTTATTCGCCTGGTTTGTGGCGATATAGTTACAAGTTCCTTCAACTTCAGGCGAATTCGACAAACTCAGTCATTATATTCTTTCAAATCTCGAGATTTGCCGAACAACTATCTACCAAAACCTAGAGAAAAATGGCCAAAAAACACCTCATTTAAAAAAAATATCAACTGTCACTACATGTTGAATATAATCGAATAATCTTCAACGCTTTTGGAGATATTAATAAATTTCTCGGATTTTCGCAACCGAACATTTTCATATACCCACACAACATGTGTTTTAAGAGAAAACGGTTGTCACTATTTAAGGCACGTAAGTATTGAATTCATTGTGGTAATACAGAGACAAGCGGACATCTTATTAGTGTCTCCGTCGCTAGAATTGGGGTATGGAGGAAATAAAAACCATATATTTCCAAAAGTGTTTAATTTGAAAAATAATTGAGTACAAAAACAGTTTTCAAATTTCTATAACTATGCATAGGTGCATTTCAATGAAATGTAGAATGAAACCTTGAACAAATGTAGCCTGAAACCTTTACGTTTAACTGATACGATAAAGCATTTTTCTCTGCATCCGATGTTGCAGCTGGCCTCTTCTAATCATGGTTAGAATAACTTTCAATATCGCTCTTTCAGGATATTGTTGATGAGTGAAGTCTTGGACGATATTCTGTTGGGAGACCTGTGTGCCAATGGCGAACCTACGTTTGAGCTGTTTTTCAATTCGTGCCAACATTTCATGCTCTTCTTCTGTTGTGAAACCTTCAGCCCCTGTAGACAATTTTTTAGAAATGAGATCCATCAATTCAATAAAGTCACTCCCTCAAATCTGCTACCAAATATCTAGATTGTACTCGTTACCCTTGATTATTTACACTAGAGTTCCTAAATAAAATTGACACTGCTGTTTTGACGTTTTTTGTATATTAGAGTACGGACGGAAGTAGTGACAATCAAACATAACCACAAACGATTTTGAAGCAAAACATATGTTTTGTCAGACAAAGACAAGAATATGTTTTTCGCTTAGATAAAGGATCGACCCTCGCATCTTCCTTCCTCCACAAGTCCTGGGAAGAGTACATCCATATATCTTTCTCTGTCTTTGATTTTTGCATGAGAATGTACAGCGTCTCCTCGAGTGGGTAAAAGGGTTCGATAAATTGACTAGAAAATTATTTCTTCTCGAAATATTGAATGATAAGGCTAAAGGACCTCAATAGAGGTCGATATCAAGTTGGTGTGAATACCAACGAAATACACATATTATTCCTATGAAATTATTCTCTCATATGTAGGTATATATATACGTTCAGTTGAATATTTATTCATCACGAAAGTTCAGAATGGGGTAAAAACTGATGAATTTCAACATTGTACAAGAGTGGTAGGTAATAAATTATAAATAAATGAATAAATGATTTGGCAACAATAACAGCTGATTTCAGTTAGGAATGTTAGGATAAATAATAAAGGTTCTCCAAGACATACCGAAGTAGGTAAGACTGTACTTCAGCGCTCGACTCACTATAGATCGCCGTTCACATTGCTAAAGGGGATTGTTGGTTTGAACCCGACCATCGGAAGATCATTTTCAATACCCAACATAAATTGTGCAATCGTTAAGCGATCTTGTTCTGTGCTCTGATAATATCTTGCTCGTATCTTGGTACCCAAAAGTGGTTCAAAATCCACTAGGAGCTATGTAGTCGTCTAGCACTTCTCGACTACGCATGAAGATGCACATTCAGACTCATTTTCCAACTCTCTATTTTCTTCTTCTATTTGTTTCCTGAATCCCTCACTCTCTTCCACTCGTAAACCTTGGATTTTTGAATATTCCAGCTCTAAAAATTCGATTCTCAAGACTTTTTTCTTCCAAAATATGTTCGAAATGAATTTCACTATTTGCAAGTTTTTCGTTTCTTGTTGGTTCTAAATTGAAATAGGGTTCGATACTGGATCAGTTTATGAATTGTAAAGTTAATAAATTTTGGGTTCGGCTCTTTCCATCAATACGATCCTATTCTACAACATCAAATATTCCGTTCTGAAGTGTACTTGATAAAAATGCGTTGAAAAATGTTCTATATCCTACCAAGAAATTTGAATACCTCGCAAATTTTGTGGCCTGAACCTATATGTTTCCATTTTTGTAGAATTACGTTATTCGATGGAAATTCGAATAGAGTGAATTGATTTCCCGTGTTCTCACAGTTGGAAACTGCACAAACTTGCATCTTTCTCCTAATTGTCTCAATTTGTCAAACCTTTGAAATTTATGTCATGTACGTACGTGTACTGTCAGTTCCCGCTTTTTCAATCAATGTATTTGTGGTTATGTCTGATTGTCAGTGCTTGTCATAGTGTCCGTACTCTAATATACAAAAAACGTCAAAACAGCAGTGTCAAGTACATTCAGGAACTCTAATTTGCACTAACAAGTTGAAGCCAAATTTTGCCTTAGTTCTTGACTGGTTCGTAGGTGGCGCTAGCAAAACTCCTCTCATCTATCTGCAAGTTGCTGAACATTACAGGATATCCCTTTTCGTAGGAACCAGAACATGAAAAAATCTAGAATCTCCTTTCAGAAGCAGAAAAATCACTAACTTCAATATTCCGAGTTTTGAATGATAAAAATATTTCACTCCGGCCCTCAGGCGACCTTCCTTCTTGCTTGTCCAGTGGACAGGTAGTTCCAGATAGAAAAAAGGTCGGAAGCTAATGAAACTTTGGAATGTTAGGGATGATTTATCAACATTTTCTCAAGTTTTGGACTTCGAGGACCCATTGCGAAACGAGGAGGAGGGGACAAACTGCAAAATGTTCGACCTTTCTTCGCCTTTTTCTCAATAACTTTATTCTTTTCATCTTACGTCAAAAATAATTTTATACTTTTTTACTATAATTAGATTCGCGAACATTTGTGTAGGTTAATTTTTTATCGATATATAGCGCTTCGAAAAAAAGGTAATTTTTCCAAATTTTATGAAAAATAACAAATATTGCTGAATTCTACTTCATTTCTTCTATTATATCCGAAATATGATTGAATGTTGTTGTCATTATGGTTCCTGGTTGAATTCACTAACTTTGACTATCCACCTTATTCCCCACCACCGCTTTCCTCTTCCCCTACCGAAGCCCAATTCACAAAAGCTTATTTTCTTCTCTGACGAAAGCTAAATTTCAGATCGATATCCTTCCTCCACCTCCACTACATAATCATTCCAGAGCAGGTGAAAGAAGATGTAACCCTTTCATGAAAAAAATAATATAATCAACAATATTAAGTTATTCACAAGGAATACATTATATTCAGGAATAGAAATATTATTATAGGTACTGAGCGGCAAAGACCTGATTCCTTGAAGCTGCAAGCTCCGGTGCTGCAGCCTTAACGGCACTTGCGCACTTGCAGAAAACAACCTGAAGAATGTCATATGGTGCAGCATTTCTGGTTGTAGGGATTGGTAGTATCCCTCGCGTGGTTAGGCTCCGATGTGAGAAGTTCGTTTCCCAATCTCCGGTGGTGCAGCCTTAACAGCACTTGCAAAAAACAATCTGGAGAATGTCATAATGGTGCAGAATTTCTGGTTGTAGGGATTGGTAGTATCCCTCGCGTGGTTAGGCTCCGATGTGAGAAGTTCGTAGCCTAACCACGCCTGAACTTGCTGGTAAATGCGGAGAAAGTGTTACTTGGCAGCGTTCATTGTTGGTGGTAGGCGGGCTAGTTGCAATTTAGCCTTCGTCACTGATCGTGTGAATAATCGGTACCGCAGGTCGTCGAGGTTGTCATCGTCAATTTCCCCTCCAGAAACTGCTACTAGAAACTATTTTCCAGCGCCGCTGATATGCTGAGGAGTAGCGTTTGTTGTGAGAAATGGAGCCACTGCTGGAGAGGGGGAAATATTCTTCACGTAGGTGCCGAAAATTTTCTTCTTCCTCAATCCATACGGTGCTGAGCTGGTATCACTAGTACTCACGGCGTGGAAGAAAAGTATTACCAATCCCTACAACCAGACATGCTGCACCGGATGACGTTCTCCAGATTGTTTCCTGCAAGTGCATAGTTTGCAGCTGCAAGAAAGCAGGTCTTTACTGCTCAGCAATGTGCAAGCACTGCACAGGCTACTCCTGTGAAACCTCTCCCGCAACTGATCTGAATGAGGAGGACTCACCGGACATATTAGAAGACGAATACGACGGCGGCGACGACGTCATTGACAGCCTGATCGCCCAGGAGGACGACGAGCTCTCAGAAGTAGAACCAACGGCTAAGAAATCCCTACATGCAGGAAATATAAGTAGTACAAATGAGTACCTATAATGATATATATTCCTGAGTATAATGTATTTCATGTGAATAGGTTACTTAATATTGTTAATTTTTTTTTTCTACCAAGAAAGGACTACGATTACGTATGGAGGAGGGGAGGATATCGATCTGAAATGTAACTTACATCAATACCAACTTGGTGTCAATATGGCTAGCTTTCAACAGAGAATAAAATTAGCTTTTGCGGATTGGGGTTCGGTGGGGAAAGGGGGAAGCGGTATTAAGGAGGAGGGTGGGTATCCAAGGTTGATGATTTCAACCAGGAATTTAGGATATAACAGAAAATATAAGGTAGAATTTTCTAATATTTGTCATTTTTTAGCGAATCTGGAAAATTAACTTTTTTCGACTCGCCATGTCTTGATAATGAATTGACCTACACAAATGTTCGAGAATCGAAATTGTAGGAAATTTAACGCTCTCGTAGGAAAGTCTGAAATATTTTTGACGTAAGAAGGAAGGGAAAAAATGATTGACGAAACCGAAGAATGGTCCAAAATGTTGAAGTTTGTCCCTCCTTCCTCTTTTCGCACAGGGTCCTCAAAGTCCAATACTTGAGAAAATATCAATAAACGATACCTGAAGAACATCCCAAAATTTCAACTTCCGACCTTTTTCCACGTAACCCCACTAAGCTTCGAATATACTCAATAAAAAGTTGTTGACCTTGTCGCACATAGATACCGCCTTCTACTGAATAGAATGTATGGCTTCATTGCTATCATAAGGATGGTACATCTTGTTAGTGTAATAATCAAGGTCGTTACACAGATCCAGAATGTTCCAGGTGATAGTAATTCTGATTGTAAATTCAAAATTGAAATAGTTGAAGAACTTACAGGAAATACAAATCGGAATGAAATATATTTTATAGGGCTGAAAAATAAATGTCATTGACCAAAAACTGACTTTCATTCAATTCAATTTCACTCATGGTTTAAATGGATTGTAGGGTTGCCACCTTTCTGATTTTCTGAGCATAAAAAGGGCAGGACAATCAATGCAAAATCATGACAAATAAAATTTCAATTATTGTACAAACATTAGTTAATTCGGATGCAAGAGGTTTTTGAAACAACAGACATAATATAGTTTTGTAAATGTTGAAAACTTCACATACGATGTTTCCACAAAATTTTTAGAAACACATGTTTTGCTAACGCATTAGCACAACGTCACTGTGAGTCTATAATAACACCAATAACAAAGATATCCGCGAGCTCGCTGACAATTGTTTAACTTGCAGGTTATGTCTACAAAGATGCGCCGTCACACGATATAATTCCGCCATGAGACATGATATGAATACGAGGTGAGGGGGTAAAGCACAGTCAAACACAGATCTAAAAAGTACAGAAATCCAAACTAAACACGAATGTAACATATATTTTTGGATAATTTTAGTTAGTTATCTAACCATAGAACTGAAAAG